TTTGATAGCAGTTTGAACGTATTACCTTAGGGATGGCATGAGTCTGGTCGACGGCTCGTTTATTAGAGCTGCAAAAGAAAAGTTATACTGGTCACGCGAGGCGGATGCTTGATCTGTCTGAGTAACCAGCCTCAAAGTCATGTCAGGATTAAACGGGAACGTACTGACGGATGTATACCGTATGTACACACCGGCCAAATTCAATGATCCAAAGTGGCCGGTAAGCGAAAAAGTAGGCTTTGCTGTATTTAGAACCGTGTCCATAGCGCAGACATTGGCTGAGCCAAAATACTTGAACAAGAATCAAGCTAGCAGGCGAAGGCAAATGCCTTTGCCAAGGACAGATCTTAGCTTCCTGAACGATAGCTCGTTTTAGTAATGATCCCCAGCACCACGAAGAGGTGTCTGTCCTATCGCTGGAGGTAGTGGTAAGCCACTAGATGATTGTGCCATGTAGCAGCGACAGAGCCGTACAGGTTATCACGCTGGAAGACAGGATCACTAGATGATTGTGCCAGGTAGCAGCGACAGAGCCGTACAGGTTATCACGCTGGAAGACAGGATCACTAGATGATTGTGCCAGGTAGCAGCGACAGAGCCGTACAGGTTATCACGCTGGAAGACAGGATCACTAGATGATTGTGCCAGGTAGCAGCGACAGAGCCGTACAGGTTGTCACGCTGGAAGGCAGGATCACCCTGTTATATCCATGTTCCTGTAGAGGAGGGCTTTGGCCTTTATATCCTTCGGAACTTTTATACCCTTCGGACTGCGAAGATCGACAAAGATCATCTATCGGTGAGATTGGCACAGCACCGCATTCTTTAACCAGCCGAATCTTCCTGCGGAGGTTTTATTTTTTATTCTTTATTTTTTATTTTTTTTCCCTAATGGAAAATAGCGGGGTGAACTCCGCTGGGGCACCATTTCAATATGACTGGAAAGCGGAAAAGTAAGATTTACGGTCAGAAAATGCTGGGGGCCGGTAAGTAAGGATGTTTACTAACCCAATTGCGTGGGAGAAAGAGGAGAGTGGTTGTGTTTCGATTGGGTAGTTAACCTGGTCAATTAATTTATAGACAAATTATTATAGTTTAATTGCCTGCTAATTTTTGTTTATTTCGATCCAAATTCAAAAGCCAACCAATCGCTGTAATCCCCTAAGCTATGAAGTTTGAACTGTGTTTTCCTAGCCTGCCCTATTTCCAGAAACTAAAAATAACGACTCGTTCATGCTTTTCACCATTTACCAACCCCAATGCATCCACTGTGTACAGTAAGCGATACCAATTACCTTTCTTTTTTGTTGTTCTTCTGCAAACATTCCTTTTGATCCATAGTTGCGCCCGACAATGGGCATATTTAAGGAAACTGACTGGGCCTCGGCGCGACCCAAAAAAGGCAGATAAAGCTAAGCATGCGGCACATTTGTGAGTGTACATACTCCATACTCTCTTCATTTTCAACTGAATATAAATTTTGCCGGCCAGGCCTCCAAGAAATTCCCTATTACGACTACTGTTGAGCTATAACCCACGTACGATCCCCGTCCCTTCATCTATCTTCAATTCCTGCTGACATCGCTAGATGGTTGATACCAAGCCCAAGGGTCTGCGGATCCCGAGCAGCATTCTCCGCGAATGTACAATTGATAAAGCCTGGCTGGAAAGCTGTACACTGCAGAACTGTGTTGTTCTGAATGTGCAAGGTGCCCATTCTACCAGATTGAGGAACTCGCTCAACCTTGATATCGACTTTGCCAAGCGCAATGAGGCCAGGGAAAGTGTAGTGTTGGAATGGAACCCAGAATATACGGAAGCCCCAACCGAGAAGCTTCCTACCAACTAGGACCACATCGGAGGCCAATCTGCAGAATGAGTTCAGCTAAGAAAAGGGACCTTGACTTGCGGACTGAAAGAAGGGCAAGTGGAGCAATCGCGATCTCGAGGCGACTTTGAATGAGTATGTCCAAAAAAGATTGTATACATTAGCGATCGTTATTGCACAAAGACAGTTTCTTCCAAAGCCTAGTCACATGCCTCACTAGATCCTGATATATGTAGGAAGTACGTTGTTTATTTCGCACTGGTGCAGTAAAAGGCCTTGTGGTTTATAGAATGCTCATGACGTACATGCACGACGTACATGAACAAAGAAATAAAGATAACAGCTCTGAGGTACTTACCGACCTTCTGGATCGATTGTCCTCTCTTGGCATTGTTCTCCGATGCCTTTTTTACCCGCCTTAGGCTCCAATTTCGTCATGGCCAAGCAGGAAATCCAAGAGCACAGTGAAATTCAGCTGCATACATACAGTACCATATGAGCCCCTACTGCTGGCTAAATTCAAGGGGTAAGAAGCATTATCGATTGCGAACGCAAACTCTCAGGCCTCTGTTGTATACTTGTGAGATATCTTTCTGTTTTTGGAGGATAGTGGACGTCAAATATTTGACTTGGATGGAGGCTTGGAGTCGCACATAGATTTAACGTGTCCTATTAACATCTATCTTGAAAGTCCAAAGATGTCAGTCATTTTTATTGTAAAATGTCAATGAACTATAGCCGCTCTGGCTGGTTGACCTCAACTTAGGGCTGGCTGTTCAGCAGATACTTGGTGCTAAGGCCTGAAGATAATTTTCTCATAATTCGGCGTTCTGCTCTTCAGCACTAGCCATGCAGTCTTCTTAGAACAGCCTACTAATACAAAACTAGAAGCTGACGCTAGCCCTTCAAATTAAGATAAAATATCAGCTACTGACGATGAAACAAGGCCAATTCCAGTTGCATTGAGGGACTACGTAGCTGCCGACAGAGAGAAAGAGGCAAGCAGAAGATGCTGAACCGGTCTGAGTCAAATCTTCATCAAGCTTGAAGAGATGGACGTTTTTCAGATGCAGTAGGGATTAGAACCGCCCTGACAATCGGAACCAGCAGTACATGTAATACGAGGGTTCCAGATAGATCCGATGCACTGCTCAAGAACAGCACCGTTGCATTGCCATGCGTCCTCTGAGCATGCTGTGGAGTACACGGTAGCTTGAGTAGCTGATGTGCCGACGGTCATAGTTGTTCGGGTCTCGGACTGAGCTGGACACTGAACTAAGGGCTCACCGGCAGCAGTATAAGAAGATTTTGGCTCGGATAACGACACAAAGCCTGAAGAGCTACCGTCAAAGTCATATATCCTTTCGTCAATGATTTCCCATGAGATGGCTAAGTGGCCAGCGTTACAAGCGTTGCCACCGGACAACTTGTCTAGGACCGTGTAACTGAAATCAACGCCCGGAGCACCCTCTGCATTCCATATATCGCTGACAGAAGAGCCGAGGCCACAGCGCTGGCAGCCGTCTCCAATGAAGAGCTGCAGGTCAGACTGCTGTCCATTGACGGAGACAACAACTCTCCTACCGCAGTACATAGACGGGTCGGCGCCTAGCTGGGTGTTGTTCATGGCAACTACATAGTTGGTGTCCATCTGGTCAAGTGAGAGCAGGGTGGCAGAGCTGCACATTACCCCCCCTTGGTTTTGGTACTCGAACGTAGTACCGCAGCTATCAATTTGCTCGATATCGTAGTAGTAGGTTCCAAAGCCTTGACCACTGTGGATGATTGACCGCGCAGAAGTGCCGACCGTGAGGAGCAGGCTAACTGCGGCCGTTGAAGGAATCTTCATATGGGATAAGAGAGTAAAAAAGAGAATCACCTTTAGTAGGTCAGGATTGGTTGTTGAGCCTCAATGGATGTGCTTGTTGAGAAAATGGCTGTTAGAAGTGTAGGATATCCCAGTGTTCTATATAGACTGGAGTCATTGTAGAATTATATTTTGATTTCTGCTTTCGTCAGGACCAGCTTTGATGCATGGTGATGGTTATACTTAACACAGCTCATATGAAGACCGCTATTGTTCAGCTAAATGTCCAGAAGTCATGTCTAGCATCACAAAACCAGTGACCTTACCCGGGCAGCATAGGCATTCTTCTCATACAATGTACAGTAACCCCTCTCTTCGGTTTTTTAATGAAGTAAAATTTCTCCTCATGTACCAAATCGCAGGAACAAAAGTGACTGGTGAACAAACGTCGGCTGTCAAATCGACAGTGATCACTTATCCAGCAATGTGGTGACCTAAACATTACTCTTTGTCTCAGTTGGACCTAATTACCCCAGTGGTTGGGTCACTGGGGAGGCAAATTGGCGCTCGGCAAGCTAAAACACTCGGTTCGAGCGGTGGTCGCGGATCTTCGATTGCTGGATTTGTTATTCGCCTTCGCGTGACTTGCCCCCAAATAATACTTCGTCCTTTCCTATCTGCCTTCCCAGCGCACCGACGGTGGAGGCGTGCATCAACATTAAAAATAAAGCATTTGGTGGTGGGGGTGTAAATCCTTGTTATCCGGACTTCGTCCTTGCCGTATGGATTCGGAATTCTGAAGCTTTTGACCAGAACCTCACGAGGATGTCTCGAAGCACCATTTATATGAATTGTGTGTACAAATAATCCATTGCTGGGCATACCTCTTCTAGTCCCAGTTGCAAAATAGAAACGTTGGAAACATCCTCTCGATCATATCGTACAACCTCCTCACAACTGGGATGCGGAGGTAAGGTAGTATATCGGTAAAAAAGAAGGCCTGATCATTCATACGGGAACAAATCAATTTCCTGCGAGGCACCAGAAATACAAATGTCGATATGAGACCTTGCCAAAGCTGGAGAAGCAATTCTACCTCGGGGCGCCCGAGAGAACTGTATGACAGGCCCCCGAGTTGAATATGAACAGAGACATAGGTTCTCCGTATATTTTCGCATATCCCAGGAATCCAAGTTCTCAACACAGTGATTGTAATTTAGAAAGACACGAAGGTAGGGCTCCCGCTGTGCCAAGCTGGCCATCGAACCCCTGAAATTCCATCGGCCAATGGTATCTCTATCTTACCTGCTGAGGATTGATTGGCCAACGGGGCTTATAGTGGCGCCGATATATTCCTAGGTGCGATATGGATCCCCAAACCCAAAGTCCTGCCAGGCAGCGCTATTCGACGGAAGAGAGCCAACATGGATCAGCACTAAAGGTATATCATTGAACAGGAATTCCAGCCAGACGGAAGCAAGCAGGAGGCGTGTGGTCTGCAATGTGGTTGCGACAACATCATCCCTGCTTTCAAAGAGCACAATGATGGCTTCGTGCGCAGAAGTCAGACTGAGGCGATCTTTGACATGTCTACACTACGAAGTGCTTTGCCCAGGATGCTCTCGGTCTCGGCCAGCAGAGGCGAGCTAAAAGGGGTCGGACCCGGACCATTCCAACAAATAAAACTCGGTATCTAATGAAGATTGGAATTCATCAAGTGAGGAGGATTGGCAGATTGAAAGTGAGACTTATTGGGACACACGATGAAGCGGAGGAGTCCAATGCAATTGATGATGCGTATAAAATTCCGGAAGGCGACTGGTGAGATTATGGCCCATGCAGGACAAGTAATGGGGGAGGCTAGGAAATAGTGGCTTGATGTCGGGCCTCACGCTTTAATTTGGCCATAAATGGAACCGAGGCACATTTAAAATCGAGCAACTGCGACTCAACCATGAAATATTACAGGCAGCCATCTGGAGTTTTATGTCACAATGCATTTTGATCATGTCATACGATCAAGGTTCGTAAGAGCCTTATTCTATTTCTGATATGAGAGGCAATAGCGGTTGGCACCGCCCTATCATATTGACCCGAACTGACTCCCAGACAGCACTCGCAGGGAGAGAGTTGAGATGGCAATGATGAACAGTTCAACCCCTCGAATGTAAGCATTATTTATATAATGTAGGGAATTGTAATTACCTCCAGTGCAATAATCCACATTAGCTCAGCAAACCAACTATCAATCTTGACGGCCACCTACACTGCAGGAACCCTCCGAACTCTGAAATGTACTCAAACCACAAACAAAAATAAGTTAGACTCGGGTGGAGCTGTCTGCAGTCTTTTCTTCGACGTGCTGCGCAGTGGCGTACGTTTCCTCAGCCATCCTCTCCTTCTTCGAAATGACTTCATCCCGCTCTTTGGCATCCTGATTGCCATGCAGTCCGATCCTATACCAAGGAAGCTGAAACAGACGATCCATGCTCTCCAGTGTCCGTCCAGCTGTCTCCGGCAAGCTGAACCATACCCAGAGACCACCAATGACAGTGACTACCGCAAAGAACCAGAAAGTACCTTTAGGCGTGAGGCCGCCATTGGCAGTTGATAGCAGCATGTTTGGGAGTGCTCGTGAACTACCGTACTGATTGGCAAAGTGCAATGTCATAGACAGTGAAGTTGACAAGGCACGGATGCGCAGCGGAAATAGCTCGGCCGTGAGCAAGTATTGCATGGAGTTCCAACCGAGCGCCCAGCCAAAACCGGAGATGAAAATCATGGCAATAGCACCGCGACTGGCGCCTTTCTTTGACTCCGGCAGAACAAACTTTTTAACTATGCCCATTTCGGGAACAGCAGTGAGGAAGGCGGCAATATAGATCATCGAGATGGCTTGCAGGGTAATGCCGATGAGTAGTGCGCGCTTGCGACCGATGACATCGACAAGGAATAGAGCACAGATGATCGCTGCTGCCAGCTTGACAATACCAAAAACGGCCGTAACTAGCAGCGACTCATTGGAGCCAGTAACGCCAAGCAGTTTAAACAGATCAGGGGCGTAGAGGGTGATGGATCCAGCCCCGGACCATTGAGACAGAATCTGACCCATGCAAGCGATATAGAGTCGATACAAGTTACTTGTGTCCAGGAATATCTCCTTGAGAATGCCAAACCAGCCAGCTCCCATTGTTGCCTCCTTTTCTGTCTGCAGTGCAATCTGAATAGCCGAGATTTCAGAGACCACATATTCGTGATCAACCGGAAGACCGCGCAGGCGGGCAAGAGTCTTGCATGCCGCCTCATCCTTACCGTCTTTGATAAGATAGCGAGGCGATTCATACTGGAAGAATGACATGATAAAGATGACGCCGGCGAACATGATGTGAAGACTAGTAGGTACCTCCTAAAAGTTAGGTTAGTCTAATTACTCAATTTGATTATGAATGTTTTAACCTGGCACAACCAAGTCCTTACCCATCGTTTGTGAGTCGAATCACCCATATTGACCTGACAGCCGTAATTGGCAAAATAGGCAAGCACGATTCCCAGGTACACAAATCCGGTGAAGACGCAAGTACAAAGACCTCGAATGGATGCGGGGGCCTAGAGTAGGAGGTAGTTAGCAAAGCAAAGGTGAAAATATGTTGAGAGTCCATCAACTTACAATTTCAGCGAGGTAGACAGGTGCAACGACGACAGTCTGTCCCACACCCAGGCCAGCAATAAATCGGCCAGCATAGACGACACCTAAGTTTCCATTTGCTCCCATAAACATAGCAATACCCACAATCCACAGAGCGCACAGTTGACGGGTCGCCCAGAGACGGCCAATGCGATCACAAACTAGGAATGCACTATAACAGAAACAGCGGACACGTGGTTAGTCTCTTGGACAGAGCAATCGTCATGATCATGAAATGGCATGGGAGCATACAAGAGGGCACCACCAACAGAGCCAATCTGAACCATAGCGGACACATTGGCCTTGATATTTGTCTGTTCCACCAGGCTGTATGAGCTGTAATGGATGGTCTTCTGGAAATCCTTAGAATTGAAGGCGCCTGAGATCAAACCCTCATCAACGCCACGAGCTGCACCCATGAGGCCGAAGGATATTACGGCAAACCACAGTCTCCAGTTGAAGACTTCTCGTGGCTCAGGTAGATTCTTCAACCTGAAGATATTGACTGGTTTCTTTGAGTCGCCCGCCATGGTAAAATTTTAGGGGAATCAAGGATAACAAAAAAATGAGGCTCACTGTCAAGGATTTTTGCGGGGAAGCTCTTAAAGTAAGCAAACACTGCCGGTACCTTGTCACAGGGACGGGGGATATATGCGGGGATCCGTGGCACCCAAAACGAAGGCTCAACCTCCGAATGGCAAAGTACGGTTTTGCGGAACGCCGCGGCATCAAAATTATTCCTCCGATTAATGGAATCCGGCCTCTTTTGAAGGGGTTTTGAGTGAGTCAAGGGGGGCGCTTTTGACCCGAACCCGAACCAGTTTCCACCGTAATGTTATGTGGTCGTCGACCAGCTGTTGGATTCCAAAATTAGGGTAACTTTCAGACTACTTTTTACATAGCGTATCGCAAAATACTTCCGGATGCGGCCAGACTCCTTGGACGCACCGACGAGACGTCTGGTTGGCCAGGATCACGCGTGTATTCGGATCCCCTACCAAAGAATCAAAGTACTCTTCTTCCACGCTCCGTAGCGCGTAGCCACGGTCGAGGAGGGGTACATTTAAACAAATGCTCAGGGGGCTGACCCATGGTTCTCATCCATTCCTTCCTTCTCACAAAAAGTTCCATGCCAAATCTCTTGAGTTTTCCGCACCGCCTATTCTCCATGGCGCGCGTCATAAGGGAGTCTTGTCTTCAGGAGATCGGCAGTGGGATGTTCGACTGGTACTCTGTATTTCGTTGGCGCGATTTTATCTCCTCCTAGACAATAGGGGCATTTGACCTTGACAATACATAACTTATTGGTAGGATGGCCCTCGCCATTTCAGTAGTATTTATCCTCCGGGCCTTTCTGCCAATAAGAAGGCTTACAAACATGCGTTATAAACGGTGCTAATATGTGCCACCTTTCATGCGGCACCTTATGAGGAAGCACCAGGTTCTCGCCACAAAACCCAGATCAAAAACATGTTGCACTGTTTTTGATTAGATTAATTACGGAAGTTTCAAAACCAAAGATCATAAGAACATGCAATCCTCGCGTTCTGGAACACCTCGACAAACTTTGACGATAATTAGTTATGTTGAACTGTGTGGGTTGTACGTGGGATGCCGGATTTCTCTCCACATGGCGCTTCGCGGCATGGTTGCCTGAACTTTGTTTGTCAGCTCGGGCAAGCTTTTCGAAGCATTTTGGGGCGGGGGCCCATGCACTAGGCATGTTGATATTACATGAATAGTTTAACCGAAGCAGGTTTGGTATCCTATTCATTAGGGCTGTGTACGTTCTAGCTGGAATTGACTTTTGTGGCGGGATTTGACTTCTGTCTTCGTGGTAGACACCGAACTCAGCCGCCGATTTACGGTGGCATGGTTGAGACAACGGAGAGTGAAGTCGATAATCTGGCGATTCTCGGCATTTTCTTGATTCCACGTTGGTTTTTTCCCTCCCCTGAACCACAGCGAAAACATAGCGGGCGTGGATTTTGGCCTGAATGTGGAATCTGCACAGCTGGATCCTTGGGCTACTCCGACGTATCCCTCAACAACCGAGCCAGATGAATTGATCGCGCTAAATGCAACTTTTTCTGCTTTCCAATTCTTTGGAATTACCTTCAATTGTCATTTAGGGGGTATATCCCCATTTCTGATGTGACTTCAGCCACTCTACTATCGCAACCCCTAGCCAACAGCTGCGGTACATGAGCCCGCAACTCTGCGGAGATACAGGATATCACCATCTTTTATTCGCCCGAGTCGGCTTCCTCTGGAATGGCCACAAAGGATGGCGCACTGTGAAATTGGTGGGGGCGACATCTGTCCGGGAAATATCGACACCTCAGCATCGTCGGCACTGGTTGACCCCCTGCTCCACCCGAAGCACCTTATCGAGAGTTTTGCCTGCCGCAGCAAATTATAGGCGCGGCTTGCTGAGGCCGTCCGACATTCGCACCGCCCGAGTCAATTTTCTGCCGTCAGCCCTGAAGCTACTTCTGCATCCTTTGCAGTAAGCAATCTCGTAGCCTGGAATTGCAGTTACAGTCTAGCTCACTCTAGCCCACTCTAGCCCACTCTAGCCCCTTTAGCTCACTCTGTATCCCCATCCCAAGGCTCGAGATCCTCAATTTCGCACCAAATCTACACAGGTCTACGCATTGATAATGTTAGTGTGGAACCTCCACCCCTAGTTTGTGGCTTATTACATTTTGCAACTACCTTCCTAGTCTAGGATAGTCTACAGTAATACCTCCCTAGTTCACCTATTTCCCACTTAAATTTCCTTCCCTCTCAAATTACCCTTCCTATACAACACACTTACCTACCAACTATGGCGACCCGCCACCAGACCCTCGATTAGACCATCAGGTCCCACAGACACCTAGGCATAGAGCTTCCCGTGATTAACGTATCGTAGCGCGTACACTACGCGGTCTGGTCTATACCTATCCCCAATTTGCATCAGAAACAAGTGTTACACAGTGGCAGGATCAAATTGCCAGTACAGATAAG